ACCATTAGTTTATTAATTAATTAATACAAAACTGGAATATAATGTTTTCTTCTAATTAAGTTTTACTAGTCATTGAATGGGGAAATCTTTTGGCCAAGGACTGAAGGTGATGAAATACTTGCTCCTATTCCAACGAAGATGACTGGTAGGCCAAAGAAAAAAAAAAGAAAGCTTGAAGAAAATGAAAAAAAAAAAAAAAACAAGCAAAAAATGAGTGAAGAGTTAGAAAGTTGTCTAAAAAAGGAAGAATTATGACATGTCAATTATGCAAGGGAAATGGACATAACAAACGATTTTGTCCTACATTGTCAACCCAACAAGCAGAATCTGCTGGTTCTTTTACTGTTAGAGGAAGAGTGATGGTTCTTCTGCTGTTGGAGGAAGAGGAAGACCATTGGCTGCTGTGAGAGGGAGAGTGAGAGGAGGAGGGAGAGGAAGTGGAAGAGGGACAGACTTGTTTCAGGAGAGCATTGTTAGAATGTCAGGTAAATTAATTGAACATAATGCGGATTTAAATAACTCATATAGATGGCTCTTAGCAGTTTATGATTTATTGACAATGCTTTCTTCTTTTCTGTAGCTTGCGCAGAGTCAAGCTCAATGGGACTGATGGAATTAATTAAATCGGGGGTCCGGATTAATTAACCCGCATGAATAAATAATTGTAACAAATATGAGATTAAAATGATAATAGGGGTATATTGTAGGGAATCAATAAACAAGTATACAAGGATTTAACGTGGAAACCAAAGCGGTAAAAACCACGAGCCTTTTTGGGCTAAGCCAAGCCGAAAGTCTTTTATTATATTTGTGGCAAGTGTGGTACATGTACATAGATAGCCATGGCCATGGAATGAATGACGAAAAGAGCATGTATGTAGAAGAGAGAGAGAGAGCCCCTTTGTCTGATCCCAAAGCCTTTATATAAGGTCCTTCCTCTAGTTGCAATCTTCCCTAATATTAAGGCCAATAACATTCCTATTTTCTTGCCATGCATGACTTCTTCTTCTTTGACTAACATTATTATTATTATAGATAATAATAATAATAATATGGCACGCATATTATATTATTCCATCAGAGACCATGAAGGCAAATGAAGATTGATGGAGTCACTTTTTTTTTTCTCTTTATTTTTATTTTTGTTTTTGTTTTTTGTTAACTAGCTGGTGTTTATAGCTACTATATCTATATGATTTTGTTTTTTAACTAGCTAGTAGATTATGAATTGGGAGTTTATTTTGTTTTGTTCTTCGCAATATATATATTTTACAGTTTATATTAATAACTTCATTTCATTTTTTTTTTTTAATTTCACTTGGTTTAGTTGTTGACCATCTAAATGGTTTTATGTGGATGAATAAGCAATATATATTCAAAGGGCCCTCGCAAATTATGTTGTGCATCCGTATACACCATGCATGGTGCATACGGATGCAAAAATGACGTCGTTTTGGTTAAAAAAACGCGCGTCCCACTTAAAAAAGAAATCAGGTTCGATTCCCGGCAATAGCATTTTTATATATCCATAAATTCATAACTATATCTCCATAAATTCATAACTATATCTCCATAAATTCATAACTATATATCCATAAATTCATAACTATATATTCACAAATTCATAACTATATAGAGATCGTCGAAGTTTACATACTTGATTCGGCTTGTTGCTGTGAAAACCAGGAGGTAAAGACATATATACTTCTTCGTTCAAGTCACCGTGAAGAAAGGCATTATTGATGTCCATTTGATGAATTTCCCATGCCTTAGATACTGCAACAGCTAAGAAGAGCCGAATAGTAGTCAGTCTCGCCACTGGAGAGAATGTGTCAAGGTAATCGATGCCAAGCTGCTGCGTATAGCCCTTAGCAACGAGCCGTGCCTTATGTCTTTCAATCCTGCCATCGGCTTTCAACTTCACCTTGAAAATCCACTTGCAACCAATGGGAATTTTTCCCGGTGGTAAATCAGTTAACTCCCACGTTTGGTTATCCTGTAAAGCTGCAATTTCAGCATCCATGGCCTTCTTCCAACATTCATTTTGCATGGCCTGTTGGTAGGTTCTTGGCTCTTTAATTGTGGATACTGCCATGGAGAAGGCTTTATGTGAGGGACTGAGGTTGGCATAGGATATAACCTTCGACAGAGAATGGGGAGATGTCTTGTAGCTCATAATGGCATCACAGTAGTAGTCCTGAAGTTTAGAGGGGGCATTGCGAGATCTGCTAGATCTCCTTGGCTGAGCATTGTGGATGGTTACGGCAGTGTCCTCACTGCATTCTTCATCAGAAGTAGCATGTAAAGAGACTTCATTGCTTGGCATATAATGTTCGGGGGAATTCTGTATGGAAGCAGAATCTGTGTGCGTTTCATGAGGATTTGATTCATCTTGCATCATAGGCAATCCAATACTGCTGTGGGTGTCATTCATCGAATCAACATGACTATGGAGGATGCCTAGATCAGCAGCTTCTTCACGGCGATTGACAGGAATGTTGGGCAGAGATGGAGTATCCATTTGAGAGGGATATTTGTCAGCATAGGCTACTTTGTTAGCAAAGGGAAAATAATCTTCGTAGAAGATCACATCCCTAGATATAAAGATGGAATTATCTTGTAGATCATAGAGCAGGTATCCTTTGATGTGAGCTGGAATACCAATGAGCACACATTGTCTACTGCGAGGTGCCAACTTGTGTCTGCCCTGTGATAGAGTAGCAGCATAACTCAAGCATCCGAAAACTTTCACATTGTCCAAGCTAGGCTTCTTTCCGTGCAACCTTTCATATGGACTAAGCCAAGCAGTAACAGGGGATGGCAACCTGTTTATGATGAAAGCAGCATGTAAAATACATAAACCCCAAAATTTAAGGGGTAAGTTAGCCTGGAATCTGAGAGCACGAGCTACGTTTAGAATATGTTGATGTTTGCGCTGAACTACTGCGTTTTGTTGGGGTGTGTTAACACACGATGTTTGGTGAACCATCCCATTTTCATCAAAGAAATCATTCATGTTGAATTCCCTTCCATTGTCACTTCTTATAGTTTTGATAACTGCTCCATGTTGAGTTTGGACTCGTTTATGGAAGATTTTGATCATAGCCCTTGTCTCGGATTTGTTCTTCATGAGGTGAACCCAGGTGTATCTAGAGAAATCGTCAACAATCGTTAGAAAATATCTCTCTCCTCCTAGAGATTCAACCATGAAGGGACCCCAAATGTCAACATGGATTAGATCAAAGCATTTATTTGACATAGTGTTGCTTAAAGGAAAAATGGCACGTTTCTGTTTAGCATAGTGGCAGACATTACATGGCAATTGCTTAGGATAAGAAACAGATACATTCTTTATATGATGGATCTTATTAATGGGAAAGTGTCCCAAACGCTTGTGCCAAAGGTCTGCACTATCAACTTTCATCACAGAGTTGCTGTAGGAATTGATCTTTGGTGGTTGACACAGCAGGTACAAACCGTCTTCTTCCCTAGCAAAACCACTGGTCATCCCAGCTTTCTGGAGAAGGCACTGGCCAGAGTTAAACAACAAAATGTGAGATGAGTCTTGTAGCAATCTACTGACTGACACAATGTTGAATCTAAAGTCCGGAATGTGTAACACATTCTTCAGCCATAGATCTTCTGCCAGTTTGATATCTCCTTTGTGTTGAACGACAACTCTCTCTCCATTAGGTAGGTTCACAGTAGCTCCCTTAACTTCACAACAATTGTTAAAAAATTCTCGAGAGCACACTATATGATCAGTTGCTCCCGAGTCCAAAATCCAAGTGGAATCACAAAGATTAAGAGAATTTATATGAGAAGTGAAATAGGACTTGCCTTCGGCTTGAGCTCCATGTTCTGTGAGATTGGGAATAAGAGAGACGGCATCAGCAGTAGTAGGAGTCTGGTGTTGATCAACTTGGATCTGTAGGAGAGATATAAGTTTCTGAAGCTGTTCAGAAGTGGCAGCATTGTCCGAGCTAGCAGAGGCTGCCATTGCCGGCTGTTTTCCCTTGGATTTGAACCCCGGAATCCATCCCGGTGGATAGCCGTGCTTCTTATAGCACTTCTCCACGGTGTGACCAGTCATTCCACAATAAGTGCATTTAGCATTTCGATTTCCATTACCAGAGTTCATGTTTCTCTTTCCGTTATAGTAGTTCACTGCTGCTACACTGTTTTCGTCATTGGAGCTGAGTTCATTGTGAACGGCATTGGCAAGGTTGAATTGCAGGTTTGAGCTAGTGATGTTCAATTGTCTCTCGAACTTTTCCGTCATAACGAACACCTTGTACATTTCTGGCAAAGGATCAAGCACAAGGATGTTAGATTTAAGCGGATTATAGTCATCACCTAAGCCTTGCAGGAATCGGATAATTTCATCTATTTCTCGATCTTTTCTGACGAGATCGATTAGGTTGCAGGAACATTGGGGATTGCATTTGCAGATCGGAAGGGGACGCAGCTCATACATCTCTTCCCAAAACGTTCTGCATTTGGTATAATATTCATTCACCGATAGACTTCCCTACCTCAGGTTGTAAATCTCGTTCTGCAAAGTTGATATACGGTGCGCATCTCGCTGAGAGAATCGCTTTCTGAAATCGTTCCAAACATCTTTCGCGGCTTCCATGTACATCACGCTTTGTGCAATGGATGGATGCACAGTTTTGAGTATCCAGGACTTCACCATCAGATTGCATCTTCTCCACGCTTGATAGTTGTTTTGAGTTCTGTCCGGCGCCGGCAAGCTTCCATCGATGAGGAACCATTTGTTTTTCACCTCTAATGCAACTTGCATTGAGATGCTCCATGAAGCATAGTTCGAACTGCCATTGAGAGGAGGACTGATAAGGATGGTGTTTGGATTCTCATTGGAGTTGAGATACAAAGGATTCTCAACATCTTCAGTCTGATTCCGCTGCGGAGCTACAATCGGTGGAGCGTTGATCGGTGGTTGATTCATTCGTGGTTGCGACGGCTGGCTGGCTTCTCCCATGCCGGTAACTGCTCCGGCGTAGGATCTCCTTCCTTGCTCTTATACCATGTCGGAGATCAGCCAAGGAGATGAACGGAAAAAGCAGAGAGGAATTGAGATAAGAGAATGATGAGAATGGTTTTCATTCATTCTGTTAGACGAATACAAGAAGAGCATATATACAAAGAAAGGGCAGCAAAAGCCGTTGGAACTGCCAAGATGATCAAAGACCAGAAGGCCCTCGACTAATTCACATTATCCCCTTCTACATCATGCTCTAATAGCTGGTCTTTTGGTTCTGATCATTGCGGCCCTAAGTCACATCTCTATTGTGTCTAAGGTCGATAGCTCAGCTAGTTATGTTGATGTAGGTGGTGAAAATCCGACTACAACAGCAGAGAGGTTTAAGCCCTGAGCTCCTGAAGTACAAGGGCCTATACAGTATACACTGTGCCCGAATGATTGTTCGTGAAAACGGGATTCGTGGTCTGTGGGCAGGGGCTGCCCCAACAGTTATGCGAAATGGGACGAACCAGGCGGCAATGTTCACAGCCAAGAATGCATTTGATAATGGGAATGTCCTTCAGCCATGGCAGTCTATGATTTCGGGTTTCCTTGCAGGGACAGCTGGTCCTATATGCACTGGACCTTTCGACGTTGTGAAAACGAGGCTGATGGCTCAAAGCCGATCAGGGGGTGATTTGAAGTACAGAGGACTGTTTCATGCCATCTCAACTATATACACCGTACCGAAGAAGGTATACGTGCTTTGTGGAAGGGGTTACTTCCCCGGCTTATGAGGATCCTGCCTGGACAGGCCATTGTGTGGGCTGTTTCTGACCAAGTGATTGGTTTGTATGAGAGAAGACATATACAAAACGCTGCGCTATAGCCTATAGGTAGCTCGACAATTACTCCACATTTCTCCTCTTTTTCTTGTGGATTGTAGTTCCATTCTTTGGCAAAAGCGTGCTAGCTGTTTTGGCCACTTTAGATTCCCTTAAATTAGTGGTAATGTCGAGTGAGGGACAGTTCTCTTGTCCCTGGCAAAATGGTATTTGAACACAATAAGATTAGAATAAAATATTCTAACAATATGAACTCCTTATCTTACAAGCACATGTTGATATTTGATAGTGATAATTTTTTCCCTACATGTTTTATGTGTTGTGAAATGTGTGTCGTAGGTTATCATGTGTAACTATTGAACAAAATATTAATATTTATTATATTTCTATAAAATACTTTGTAAACAAATATATATAACATACAGGGCCGGCCCAGAGGGGCGGGCAACATGGGAACCCGCCCAGGGCCCAATGTTGAAAGGGCTCCCCTAACTTGGATTTTTATTTTTTTTGATAATGTTAAGAGAAAAAAAAAATTTTATTGCATGAGCATATATTTGAACCCACAACTTCAAAATTACTATTTAACATTAAATTCACTTAACCATTACAATCATTTAATATAATAATTCAATTAATAGATACTTCATATATATAAGAGAATACTAATTTTTTCAATGCGCAATGCGTAAAACTAATGCCCAACATTAGTATTCAATGTTAAAATCATAGTTATAATTTTTTTAAAAATAAAATTTTATAAATTTTTAAAAAATTCACAAAGTTTATAGTTGTAGAATTCATATTATATATTTAAAAGTATATTAATAATTATGGTATGATTAATAATTTATTTTTACATATTCTTACATAATATCTACATATATTATTATAATTAAAGAAGGTAAGAAAATATATGGTGCATGCAAGTGCATTGTAAGAGTAATGGAAATAGATAATTGAAGTTATAACGGTAGGGGCATTGTTGTCCAAAAAATAATATAGTATAACATTTATAGCTTAATGTATCAAAAAAAGATAACAGAAAAACAGACATAAATGAAGGGTACCAACCTTCATTGACACTTAATATGTTTTTATTATTTTATTATTAGATTAAATTAATTTATAATTAAACTTCATGTAGGGGCCCAAAGTTTGAATGATCACTACTCCAGAATTAGTCCAACTATTTTTTTTTTTTTTAATAAAGTCTTAAAAAAATTATATGTAAATAAAAATTCAAAGTTATCCTTGAATTGTTTTCAATTAACACAATCTTTTGAACTATATATATATATATATATATATATATATATATATATATATATATATATATATAAACACTTTAACTTTATATATTAAGGGCCCTTCTTTTTTACTTTGTCTCGGGCCTATAAAATGATAGGACCGGCCCCGATAACATATTTTGTAATATAACTTAGATATTTAATTACAAGATAATGTCTCTTCAAAAAAATGTTTTTATAATTGTTGTCTAAATCCATCTTTCTAAATCTATAAAATGATCTAAATATTTATAATTAACTCCAAAAAACTTGGACAGCATTCCTTTGATAGGAAATTTTATATCATACGTTATTTAATTAGTAGTACTATTAAGTTATTCAACGTCATAGAGAGATTACATAGTATGTACCCAAAAAAAAAAATAAATAAATAAAAAGAGATTATATAGCATCGATCTACTTTTTGATTATCTATTAGTGGTTTACTTCATTACGAAATTTAGATTGTATTATTTGTGCTCATTTTTTATTCCTATTTTGTTTGAATTGATGCGTCTCTTAAAGGTTTTTGTTTCTTTTTTTATTGTTGATTATACACATGTATGTATATACGTATGTAGTAATATAATAAATTAGTATACAGAGGAAAAAATTTATGTTAGTATCAATTAATTAATGTGTATTAGTATATTGTATTAAAGTATAACACATGCATATACATACAAGAGAAAGCTTACTATTCTAGTCAAATGAGTTAAATTACAGTTGACAATGAGTGTTCGTTACCATAGTTTATAGTTTTTATAACCATATCCGTCGTCGCATAGACAATTATATACTTTTAGTTCACATTTTAATTGTTAATGTTATTGGTTGCTCTAAATTTGCCAGCATGAGTTGGTTTTAAATTAGAGGTCAACTTTCGAAATCTAAGCGAATTACAATATTACTTGAATTTAATAACATGCATAAGACAGATTAACTGTTGCATAAATCCATCTATCTAAATCTTGAAAATGATCTAATTATTTATATTTTCACTTAAAAAAAAAAATTAAACACCATTCCTATTCCCCGAGTGAAAACCCCATTTAGAACCATCAATATCACAACTCACCATAGTAATCTACCTTCAAATTAGAAGATGATCTCATGATCTACTCAAAAAAGCCTAGTTCCCGAAGAACTTAAAACACGCGGTAGAGCTTCACAAATCAATAGTCCTTTCAACAATTGAGATGAAGAAAGTTAAGTCAATAGATCTTATAATAGTAAGATGAACCAGTAAAGTTTACTATCTGTTATAAGATGTGAATTTTCGACAAACCCAACTAAAAAACTTTAATTTGATAAAGAAAGTGGTCGGTAGAGCTTAAAGTTTGAAAGAAAACAGGTTCCAAAAGATGTATTCATTAAAGCTAAGGTCTACCAGAGGTGCCATATGATGAAGACAAGATGTATTCATAAACCCTAAAAAAGAGATTGTAATTAGATTTTCGATACTCAATACAATATACACAATTAATACACATTTAATTTAATTCAATAATTCCGAGCCAATCTTTTTGTTTGCTAATTTTCATACATGTCACTCCAAAGTTTACGATGGCCAACCTTTGACCCAGTGTTATAAAACCAACACTTCAATTTGAATATCACCTTATTATCCCAAAATAAAAAAATAAAAATGGTAAACCTTACAATTTGACAGCTTTTGATGAAGACAAGTAGTATAACATACAGTAAAATAAAAGTAGAAGAAATATGTTTGTATCCAAATTTCCCGACAGAGTGCTGTTTATGCTAATCTTGAATGTTAATGAATTGGGAGTGGGGAAACCTAGCTTATTATCTGCATAAATTGTATAATCCCTTCTGCCTCTACCCCACCCAATATATGTCACTGAGAGACCAAATGACAACAAAAAACTTGCAAAGCAGATAAAGTGTAACATCAAATTTTTTTCAACCTACCTAACTTTCTTCCTATACATACTCTACCTATAAATATTTGTGAGGTGACCATTATTCTTGTATTTCTAAGCCATACAAATTATTAAAAGCAATCCATTCTTTTAGGATACAAACAATCCTATAAATACCCTATAACACAATGCCAATGGCCATTGCATCTCTGCAGATAGAGACACATTTTTCCATTTCCTCTTACTTTTCCTTTTTATTGCAGCAAATCACAATAAAAAGGAAATGGAGTTTTCTTTTCTGCAGCTCACCATCTCCATAATTGCCTTAGCCGCCATTGCCCAAACATCTTTCGTACAATCCGCCTGTGACTCTGATTGCGTTAAAGGGTTTGTTGCTGCACATAACGCGGCCCGACAAACTGTTGGATCTCCACCTGTTAACTGGAACTCCACCTTAGCAGACATCGCCGAATCCTATGCCGCCAAGAGGTCTGCTGACTGTGTGCCGCAGAACTCTAACGGGCTGTATGGGGAAAACATTGCGGTGGCCTCTGCCGAATTGTCTCCGGCGGATTCCATGAAGTTGTGGATGGGTGAGAAGAAGGACTATGACCACGCATCGAATTCTTGCACCAGCGGCAACAATTGCCGCTCTTATACGCAGGTGGTTTGGGGCGGCAGCACGAGTATTGGCTGTGCTAGGGTTACGTGCAAAACTGATTGGATGTTTGTCATCTGCTACTATAACCCTCCGGGCAACTATATGGGCGAAAAACCATATTAAACACAATTTTTTTTTTTTATGATTAGTATGATCTTGTGAAATGCAGACAGTGCATTAAAAAAAAATATATATAAATATTTAGAAATTACAATATTATCACTAATGTATTATCATGAAACAAATATTGTTTCATGCACGGATGCTGAATCAATTCAATTTTGAACTTTTTCTTTTACATTTGGCTAGCTATTCTTCGAATTATTTTTTTTCTGGGTTCGTGCATAATACTTGGTATCCCACTAATTGTGAGTTCATTCTTGTAGAGTTCTCTTATTGCAGAACACTCTTTAATATGCTCCACTCAATTAATTAACTACATAATTTATGGATGGGAAAATTGTAAAAAAATGTCCCTCTATAATATGCCAATTATCAATGTCACCCATGAATTATGAGTGGTGTAAATGTTGCCCCTCAATTATCAAAATGGTGCACATATAGCCCCTCCCGTAACGGACCTGCGGTTCCCCACCGTTGTCCATCGCTGGTACTTCGAATCGAGGTATGGAAAAAACAACTAAATTACATATTTACTCCGACTTAACGGTGCCGTACACTAACGGAGAACCACATGTACGTTACGGGAGGGGCTATATGTGCACCGTTTTGACAATTGAGGGGCAACATTTACACCACTCTTGACATATATTATAGAGATGTATTTTTTACACTTTTCCCTTTATGGATTTTAAGATTCAGTAAAACTTTTGCCTAGAAATTTGATGTCTCTTTATAGAAGAAACACTAATTGTGGCCTAGTCACATTCAAAACTTCAAAGTAGGTCTTCCAGTCATATCTTGTCAAGTCACCTAAGCACAATTAATATAATCAAAATAAATGAGTATTTACGACACTTTATCACACATGTATGTTGTTGAATTGATTAACAATAAGATTTGATACAAACATTATTACAAATTGAACCAAAAAAATCTAACATTATGAAACTAACATTGGGAATCTTATTGAACCAGTGTTCTCCTTTACCGGCTTGATATATTCATTTTTGGTAGGAGACACCAGAAGCACACAGACCCTAGAGGTGCAATTGTTATACCATGGACCAGGGTTCACATTGTATTGTGGATTCTGTTCCAGTATTATATTAGACCCAATCGTTATATCTGCACCATTGTGCGCCCTGGTGCACGATATAATTTGCTTATTAGACATGCGTTGAATCTCCCCGGAAAAATTAGACTTTGGCTTCACCGGGAATAGCTTGAATTAGGGTCGTCTTGGTCTTATTAAGAAATGGTTTGACCCCGCTAAAACTGGCCTAGGACCAAACTCAAGAAATAAAATGTTTTAATTTTTCGCTTCTTCCAACACTAGATATATAGATTAAAAATATGCTAAATGGCTTTGATACAATATAAAAAAATTGATTTTAAAATATTGTTAGCACAAAAAAACTAATGATGCTAACATAACTACAACGGCTAATTATTGTGTGCACCATAGTCCACGCAATGCTGTGTGAACCATAAAAATACATTTTAAATATAATAAAAGTACATTATTCGTGTACTGAATGTATATTATACAAAATAGTGTATTTTTAGTACTCAAATAATACTTTTCTCTGAATACAATGTACATTTTCAATATATTAAAAGTACATTATTTGTGTACTGTATGTACATTATTTAATTGTATAGTCCACATAGCCGTGTGGAACATGGTCCACACAATAAAGATTGAATTACAACTATGTGGATTTTGATTTCATTAATAATTTTACATATTAATAGCAAACCCTATAAAAATAAACAACAAACCCCGAAATTAAAAGTCTTATGTAAATTTTTTAATTTATCAATCTAACATATTTTAATGACTAAAAATAAAATAAATTTTATAATATTTATAAGTTATCAATTTTCATAATGTATCAATAAATTAATTAATTAAACACAATTTAGTAATATAAAAAATCAAGTTCAAACGATATTACAAGCGTTTTATAAATTTTTTATATTACAAGTCTTTTATACATTTTTTATTTTGTAGAAAATGTTATTAATTTTTAATTGTGAGATTAATGGTTCAAATCTTGTTTCAAAAAAAAAAATACTATCTTTTGAAATGTGTGCGTCTCATATATTAACATTTTGTATTAACAAGTTGAAGTGCTTCAATTGGACATTGATGGTTAACTAAAATGAGATCGAGTGGGTCAAATCTTTTTTTTTTTTTTTTTTAAAGTTTATGATTATTTTATATAAAAATAAATAAATAAAAATATCTGGTTTCCTCTCCTAGTGTCACCAAAGAATTTTCCCACACATCCCCTATAAAAAAAAATTAAAATTTTCAATAATTAAAAAATTTACTCATATTATTTTTAAATGCTACTGACTCTATTACATTATACTATCTGTTTAAACACACTACAGTGCCAACAACACCTCCTCTAAGGCTCGATCTCACAACCTCCCACATAGGAAAGGTCACTACATGTCATCAGAGCACAAGGTGTTTGGCAATTTACCCATATTTTTTACTATAACCCTATGAACTCTTATAAACGGCTAAGATGAATTCACATTTTTTAGATCCTGGAATGTGAACCTATGTACCAATCTTAATTTTTGATAGATTGGGATTAGATAGTTCAATTCATGTACAATTAAAACCCTTAATGCACATTTTTCTTTAAAAACAATTAATGGGGTTAAGTTGGTGATTGCAATGAATAATAATTTCCTTCTATTCAGTATGATATTACGTTTTCAATCGTGAAACTCGATCGATAATTCCAGTCATGATATCCTTTGGATTTTGAATAACGCTTTTGGTGAGTCACCATCTCCGGCGACCGTGATCACTCGTGAACCCAAGTATGTTGCTTTTGATTTTATTTTCGAACGTTGATTTCGATCCTGGGAGCTGTTGTTCCTAATGATTAAAGTACGATGTAGTTGTATATTAGACCAGGGTGAGTGGGATGTGTAAATGGGATTGGTTGAACTGAGGGCAGTGGATTACGGTTTAGGAGACGCTTATGTATTGTTCCATTTCAGAAAGATGCAAAGTGCATTATATTCTTGTGGGTGGTAAATAGTTGTTATACCGTGGACCATGGCCCACACATGACCATGATCGTCGAATGAAACTATAGAAGAATTAAAATGATAGTTTAGTGTTACTATTATGAAACTAGTGTGTGTGAAAAATGAAACTAAAAAACAGGAGCACATTATTTTCAAATGAAACTAGTGTGCATGGAAAATAAAACTAAAATCCAGAGCCATACAATATCATATATTGTCAAATGACCTGAAGTGCAATTAAAATAATACTTCAATATTACTATAATTAAACTAGTGTGTGTGGAAAATGATACCAAAAAATTGAGCCCAAGCAATAATGTATATTATGAAATGAAACTATAATAGATTTAAAATGATACTTTAGTATAGTATTGCTGTAATGAAGCTAGTGTGGAGGGAAAATGACTCTAAAATACATGACATTAATGTCAAATGAAATTGAAGTAGAACTAAAATGATACATACTTGTAATCTATGATACTACATAGACCATGGACCAGAGTAAAATATGTGGTGGTACACTGTTGAAAGTCCCAACGTGGTGCAATGGGTTTTAGTATATTGTGCATATGATAGTGTAGTGTCTTCTGTTATGAAAGTCCCTATGTGGTGTAAAGGTTGGGGTTACCCTCCAAGAACGATGTTCTTTGTGGGTCCTGAAAGAGAGAGAAATGGCAGAAGAGAGTTGCAGTACTGCGCGTTTGGTGCATATCTTGCGCCTTGCTTTTCCTCTTTTTTTTTGTTTTTTTTTCCCCTTTTTGCGCCAGATTTTGCTTTTCCCTGTTTGTTTTTTCCTCTTTTCTCTTCTCCTTTTTCCCTTCACTTTCGTACATGGCCTACAAAAACCAATGCTAAAATAAAAAGTAATGAGGATGCTCTTTGAAGAATATACCCACAAACATATTTCTATTAAATGCACCAAGTGAGTTTAGGAAATGCACACTGATATTGTTATCCTGCGAAGATGCTCAAAACTAAGAGTAGTGTGGCACAAGAAATAAAATCAGAGTGCACAAGGCTAAATCCATAGGCAAATTAGTTAATAACTTCATAAGTATTGTGGTTACTAATTAACGACGTATAGATTTCTGTGTAAAGATCAGAGAACAAATGCATTAATGTAAATGTATTATATTAATAAAAATAAGGGAAAACTAGAAACAGTTGTTAACAAGAAAACGAGCGGATTTTTTTATTTTATTTACTTCCATGGTGTGTGGTCTGTGTGTTTTTTTTTTTTTTTTTTTTTCTGGAGAGTGAGGTTGCAACAATTTTCGTTAACGGTGTGTAACAATTGGTGAGTAACCGTGATTTTAACTCGAACAAAGCTCCAAACCCAAAAAAGCTCCAAACCCAATGTCCTAGGCATCCTCAAAAGTTGTAGTTTTTTTTAGAAATTTTGCAAATGTAATTAGGAAAAAGATTATGGGAGGGATGAGAGAGAGCGAGAGAAAAAAATAACGAAACAAAGCTGAAAACTAAAAAAATAGTAATAAATAATAAATAATAAATAAATAAACTGAAAATCTTCAATAACGCACATAGCGGTGGAGTTGCGCTTCATGCGACCAGGGTATAAAAATAAGAGAATTTGGTAGAGGTGGAGGTGGCTGCTGATTCTTTGAAGTAGAACATAAGTCTTTATTTTGGTGGGTTCGGAGCCATTTTGTTTTCGGGATGTAATCACAACCCTCGTCGGCTTTGTTGTTGCGGAGCTCCATCAAGATGCAATGCCGTGGATGATGTAAGGCCACCAGAAAGAGTACATAATTTAATTGATCAGTTATTCATTTATAAATTTTAGGGTAAATTTGTCTTTTTAGTTATTTTTCGCCGAAAAATTGGCCGGATGGATCGGAATTGGGAAAAATTGAATTGTTAAAGTACTAAATTGACAATTTTGAAACTCATGGACTGAAATTAACAAGACTCCATTAGTCATA